GTTTTGCATTTTCTAAACCAATTGATATTTCAAACACTCATTCTTTAAACCATTACTCATTTTCTAATACAGTTCTTTACTTATCATAGTGATTAAGAAGTCTAAATATTTTTATTAAGGATCTTCAATTCTGTTGCTGAAGAAATAGTGAAGCTTTTTTGTGTGTGTGTTTTAACTAGCCCAAGTAGATTAATGTGTTTACAAAAAGCTTCTTCTGTGCGGATTTGCATCAAATATTCTCACTAAAAGGTAACAGAGATTCATGATTTGGAGGGGTGGTTTTTAAAGGCCTTTTATCTGAAAAGGTTAAAAGGGGGGGAATCAGTAACTTTAATGAAAAGCACAACATAGGGTGTGGGTAATTAGTAAATTTTTGTTCAAGCAATATAAGCCTCATGTCAAAATAGAGTTGATCTATCGTAAAACTAAAGAGAGATTGGATCTGCTTCTACAGAACCAGCTAAAGTAGATTCGTTTACCAGGGCATTGAGCCCACCTTCCATTGGGCAAAGTTTAGTTTAGTTTAGTTTAGTTTATTTGAATTTATATCCCGCCCTTCTCCTTGCGGACTCAGGGCGGCTGACAATCAATTTAAAATACACCAAAAACAATTACAAAATTTAAAATTAGTTAAAAAGAAATATTTAAATGTTGTCTAATTAAAATATAATTAAAACCCCTCTAAAAAATTACCCTAGGCCAGTCCTGCTTGTTGGAATAGCCATGTCTTAAGGGCGCGGCGGAAGGAAGGGAGATCAGGGATCACCCTGATCTCTGGGGGCAGCTCATTCCAGAGGGTGGGAGCTCCCACAGAGAAGGCCCTCCCCCTTGGGGTCGCCAGCCGGCACTGTCTGGCCGACGGCACCCTGAGGAGGCCCACCCTGTGGGAGCGTACAGGCCGATGGGNTCAGCACCTTGAAGCGCACCCGGAAGGCCACCGGCAGCCAATGCAGCTCGCGCAGCAGCGGCGTTACGTGGGAGCGACGAGTCCCTCCCAACACCGCCCGCGCGGCCGCATTTTGGACTAGCTGGAGCCTCCGGGTGCTCCTCAAGGGAAGCCCCATGTAGAGAGCATTACAGTAGTCCAGGCAGGAGGTGACCAGAGCATGAGTGACTGTGCGCAAGGCGTCCCGGTCCAGAAAAGAAGCTTTTAAACTACAGAGACAAAATAAAAATTCCCCTCATTGAGATGACCCAGCTGCACATCAAGCTTTTCACTGTCTTCCTGATTTGCCTTCTCAAATAAATAAACATGGTTGAAGGGTCTATGGGAACAAAATAGAATAATGTATTCTTTGGAGAATGAAAATTGTGTCAGGGAGTTAGTTGTTTATGTAATAAGGTAAGATGTTCCTTTGTATATTAACATCCTTCTCATCCCACAAACTTAAGGAAATTGGGTAAGAAGGAAAGGGAGAAAGAGCCTGCTTGTGTAATATGTCATTTATAACAGCAAATGGGGCAATATACCATCAAAGAAGAATCGTTTGGATAAACAGTGCGTGGGCACATTTACCGACTAATAGTCACCATTTATAAAAAAAATTGGCAAATACATGTTTGTGGGAGTTTTGCATTTGGATTGCATGAACACACTTAATAATATATTGCTGGTCCTTTACCAAAATAATGGTAGTTTTCCAACCTACTTCATTCAGCAGATTCTACTTTGAAAAAGAATGCCTTGTTTGAAAAAGATGGTACATTTTCTTATATCTTCCCTATTTTTGGATGCATTTTTCAGGTGTTACTATTGTTTTGTAGTTAGGCAATAGCATGTGCTCATGTTTAACAATTAGGATAGCTGTGGATATTTTTCCATTTGTGTGTACAGCAGAAAGAACAGTAAGCAAAGTTTGATGTACTTGTGTTTTTGTGCAGGAGGTAAGAATGATTTAGAATTTCTTGATAATTCTTTTCTTTCACTTACTGGCTTGTGATGTTTCTGTGCCTTTTTACAGTAAATCTAGGCAAATATATTTAGAGAGGAAGGATGGATGGGTGGGTGGGTGGATGGGAGGGTGGATGGATGGATGAATGGATGGATGGACTAATTTGCAAAGTCAGATGAATGGCATAAAGTCATTGGGTGTTTCTGTACTTATTTATTTTGATCAGCTCCCACAATGTGTGTATTGTCATGATGCAAATTGGTAAAGAGGACTATTTAAACATGATACAACTCAGTCCTCTCCAGTTACCATAATTTATGGTCCAGATCAGTTCTGGATTAGTCCATTTTGATATATTTTGCTTGTACTATATTCATTTTTATGCCAAGTATTATGTATTAAGGAACTAATGACTAAAACTTAACATCAGTCCTTTCTTTTTTCTACTTTCTACTTTGTACACTCTCTTTTGTGTCATTATTTTTTTCTGTTTTATAGCTCATGTTGTCTTTAGTGAAACAAAAAAAGTTTCAAATGATATTTTCAAATGAGTTCATCCATATTCTATGACATTTCCTATATGTTCTTTCATAAATCTGAATTTAAATATTATACATACAATACACGTGCATAGTGGATTCATGTTATTTTAGTATGCAGTTTTCTCTTAACATTTACATCTTTATTATTGGAAGTGATGGTTCATAATTAATTAAACAAAATCAGACCAATACTAAAGTATGTTAACATATATTTCAGTCTATATGATGATGACATCTTTAAAGTGAAGAGTTTCTTAAGGTGGAATTTGCAGCCCTTGTTTTCTTTCTTAACAAGTTATCGTTGATCACTTCTTTCCGTTAAGTCAATAAAAGTTATTGTTAATGAGACTAATTTTGGTCTCTTCATTTCCGAAATTTGAAAGTGCTTTTTCTTTGCTCAGTCTCTTGTCAAACCAAGAATCATCAGAGATATTTCAACAATTTCTGATTCCTTGCTTCTCACATCTCCAATTTTTCACCAAAAAGAAAATAGACATTTCAACGCCAAAAAATCTCCATAAAGTGCTATAATATACTAAAAAGTTAAAAAAAATATTTATAGAAGTTTTTCAGATTCTTTGTAAATGGTTTATATTATACATATTATTATACATATTATACATATGTCCAGTGTAAGAATTTTTACATCCTCCCTAAATAGAGAGAAAAATTAAAATAAGTTTAAAGATATTTCTCATTAACAAAAAAATATGGTATTGGCACTGATTTTTTTTTCTTTCAGGATTTGCTAAAAAAAATTAACAATGTGTTTTGGTATATTAAATTGCAATATGCTTTATAGAGAAACAGTATTCTGTGCTCCAGTTATTTTTAAAAACCAAGTTTAACAATTTAAACTGGAAACAGACTATTGAATTTAACAGTTTTAATAGCTTTTCAGTAATTGATGATTAAAGGTATTTTAAAACAAGTAATATTGTTTATATTTTGTTTATATTTCAAAGGACTTGCCATTGCCCACCACAGAAATTTTATTTCAAAATAAATATACCATATATTACTAATAAAGCATTACAAATTGTATTCAAATATGCTCTTCTAAACAGAAAACATCTTCTATTTACTGGCAAACCATTTCCTTCCAAGTGAAGTGTAGGGAAGAAGAAAATTATTTCAAATACAAAAAGGGTGTTCTGTTTGTACAACTTTTTGTGCAAGATGTTTTATTGAATTCTAGAAGTCAAAGGTTGAAACTTGGAAATGTCTTACATGTCATTTATGCCATATCATAAAATAACTCTGGATACATTGTGGTCACTCATCACACAGCAGTCTGCTAGAACTTGTGCAAGAATTAATGAACGGTACGAACACATTTCTTCCTTCTCGTTTTTAAGATCCAGGTATAGTGAATTCCCATTAGGCCGCAAATCAGATTTTAAGTGGTACGGTATGCCGGTCTAAAATCCCCTTCTGAAATTCTATGATATAATATTGAGTTACATGTTTATTAATTTGTTTTTAGCTATGCCTGAATATGCTGTACTGCACTTAAAATACATGAGCATTTTGATGTTTAAAGCCATCAGTTATTTTTTTTTCTTGCACTATATGCTTTGCTTTGCTTTTTTATTTTATTTATTTATTTTAGATTTAGAGGTAATCTAGAAAGTAAAAAAAGAGAAACTCTTTGTTTCTTTTTTATTCTAGTCCAAGTATGAAAAAGAACTGAAAAAAATACTATATTATCATGGATTAATGTTTTATTTCTTTATCAAGCTTGGGAAGATTGCAATTAGAAATTATTTGAGCTCATAATGTATAGCTCATAAAGAGGGAGTCAACCTATTCTCCAAAGCATCTGAAGGCAGGACAAGAAGCAATAGATGGAAACTAATTAAGGAAAGAAGCAACCTAGAACTAAGGAGAAATTTCCTGACAGTTAGAACAATTAATCAGTGGAACAACCTGCCTCCAGAATCTGTGAATGCTCCAACACTGGAAGTTTTTAAGAAGAGACTGGACAGCCATTTGTTTGAAATGGTACAGGGTTTCCTGCCTGAGCAGGGGGCTGGACTAGACGACTTCCAACCCTATTATTATTGTTGTTGTTGTTGTTGTTGTTGTTGTTGATCATCGCACAGTCAACCAGATGTTCAGACTGGATTTGGCATTTTTGTCTACTTATCGAGTCCTTACCAAGGACCTGGGATAGGCAGATGTGGATGTTTGATGGTATTACAGATATCGTTGCAGGATGGAATTATTACTATTATTTTTATTATTATTGTTGTTATTGTTATTGTTATTATTTATACCCCTTTAATAGTAAACTATCTTAAACCAGTTAAGATGATTTGTAAGTCAGGTGTTTGTGTTTTTTATACCCTCAGGGGGGAACTGTTTCCTACGGAAGGTGGGCATTATCCTGCCACAATTAAGCATGTTTAAACCCAGAGATGTCACGAATAGAAATACACACTGAATGGAGCAAAAATGCACTGTCCTACACAAAAGGTTTTGTAACATATTCAGATAATCACCTGCATGCTCCATTTTAATACTGTTTTCTTTCTTTTTTTTTCTTTTTTCTTTTTTTCTGTAGAGGTTGAAAGCAGCTTTGACTCATATTCCTGCGGGCATCTCCAATGGAAATATGAACACCGTGGGTCATATGATGGAAATGATGAGCTCTCGACAAGACCAACCAGCCCACCATCATATGCACTCACATCCACATCAACACCAGACCCTTCCACCCCATCATCCGTACCCCCATCAGCATCAGCATCCAGTACACCATCCTCATCACCAGCACCAACACCAGCACCATCATTCTCATTCACATCTTCAGGCACACCCAGCACATCATCAGACTTCGCCACATCCGCCACTGCATACAGACGGTCAAGCACAGGTAGAGCTTTCTAACCTCTCTTATGTGAAGATGGATATTAAAAACAAGAGTTTGTTGTGGCTTTTTTTTTTTTTTTGCAGATTTAATTCTCCTACATCATTTTTGTAATTTTGATGTTGCCAAGTTAAGAAAGAAAGGCATATATTATAGGTCTTGAGTAGTTTACCAGAGGATTCTGATTAGGCAATATTACCTAATGTTGCAAGAGACAAGACCAACAGAGCATAAAGAAAGGAGGAAAAACATATTCACTTCACTTTCCTTCCCTGACTGTTTTAATATTACATCAGCTAAGAGATAATGAGATAGGTAGGTAGGTAGGTAGGTAGGTAGACAGACAGACAGACAGATAGATTTCCCCTTATTTCAGTAATAATAATACACACACACACACACACACACACGGAGACTATAGATATTTTTTGTCATTCTCCTACATAGGACTTGAAACAAATAGTCATAGAACTTCCGCAGTAAATCTGGAGATGGTTTCCAATGTCAGGTGCCCCTTCCACTGGAAAATTTCTCCTCTCTTTCTCGTTTTCTCTCACCTCGGGTGCATTTCTTTCTCAGTACCATAGGATTGCACTCTTAAAATGATGAAGGTGTGAGCTCTTTTATTTGATTTTGCATTTTTCTATTTAAGAATGCCATTTTTGTACCATATTTTGTCAAAGAACCTTGAGTTACTTTTCCATATTGTAAAGCTATACTGAATGCTTTATGTAGCAGAATTATTTATTGTAGGTTAAATTGTATGTTTCCCGCTACATATTTGCTTTTTTGCTATGGATAATCACTACCAGCAGTTTGCTGCTCCATTAATGGTGCAGAAGCTCAAGTGTTTGTTGCTACAAAATTTCTTTCAGTGCATGGTATTGTGAGTGCTGACTTTGTATGCAATTTGTTTTTTATATACCATAACAATCCACATGCCCAAGACTGTGTTAACAATGTGATGGAGTTTTTTGTAGTTGTTTTTAAAGGGCTTGTGGAAATATAAATGACCTCCCTCTCCACATTATCCACTTGCTTGATTGTTCTTTTTCTTGCTCCTTTGCTACAAGAAAAAAAAACTAATTAAAATGTTGATAGATTACATATATATGTACAGTATTATGCACTTAAGATATAGATTTATTCTTTCAGTGTGGTATAATAATTAGTTGATTATCTGCCACATGTATAACGTCCAAAGGCTCAGAATGAACAAAAGAAAGCAAAGGCTCAGAACGAACAAAGACTTGCAACAGAAATCAAGAATAAAAAAAAAAGTTTATTCCAACACATTAACAAGAAAAACGTCAAGGAAACTGTAGGTCCACTAAAGAGAGAAGATGGCAAGGAAATAACAGACAACAGGGAGAAAACAGAGCTGCTTAATTCATACTTTGCAAAAAGAAACTATAGCCCAACATACCATTTCAAAAGACAAACTAGAAACAAAAATTAAAATAAGCAAGAAAATGGTAAGAAAATGGTAAATGGTAAGAGAACACCTTGACAAGTATAAATCACTGGGACCCAACAGAGTTCTGAAGGAGCTGGCAGATGTTATCTCAGAACCATTACACCACATCTTTCATAAATCCTGGAGCACTGGGGAAGTACCTGAGGATTGGAAAAGGGCTGATGTAGTTCCCATCTTCAAGAAAGGGAGAAAAATGGACCCAGGAAACAACAGATCAATCATTTTAACATCAATACCTGGGAAGATCCTAGAAAAGATAATAAAAAACCAGATCTGCAAACAACTAGAAGCAAACAAAGTTATATCTAGTAGCCATCAAGGGTTTGTCAAAAACATATCATGCCAAACCAATCTTATTTCATTCTTCGATAAAGTGACTAAACTAGTAGACCAGCAAAATGCTGTGGATGTAGTATACTTAGACTTCAGTAAGTCATTTGATAAAATAGACCACAACCTAATCCTTGGTAAGCTAGAAAAAGATGGAATAGACATCACCACAACATCACCACCAGATGGATCTATAGCTGGTTGGCAAACTGTACTCAACAAGCAGTCCTCAAAGGCACCACATCCAGATGGAGAGAAGTAAGCAGTGGTTACCACAAGGTTCTGTCTTAGGCCCAGTACTCTTCAATATCTTCATAAATGACTTAGATGAGGGAATTGAAGGGAAACTCCTCAAATTTGCAGATGACACCAAACTGACAGGAGTAGCCAACACCCCAGAAGACAAACTTAGGATCCAAAAAGATCTTGACAAACTTGAACAATGGCCCCTATCCAACAAAATGAGTGTCAATGTGGAGAAAAGCAAAATTTTACGTTTAGTACAGATTGAGTGAGACCTGGCTCAAAAACAGTAACTGTGAGAGGGACCTTGGTGTCCTAGTGGACGATCACTGGACTATGAGCCAGCAGTGTGCAGCAGTTACCAAAACAGTTAATACAATCCGGTTGTATAAACAGAGGCATAGAATCAAGATCACGCGAAGTATTAGTACCACTTTATAAAACCCTAGTAAGACTACACCTGGAATACTGCAGCCAATTTTGGTCACCATATCACAAAAAAGATGTTGAGAGTTTGGAAAAAATTCAGAGAAGAGCAGCTAAGATGATCCAAGGCCTGGAGACTAAAACATATGAAGAACAGTTGTGGGACTTGGGTTTGGCTAGTCTAAAGAAAAGAAGAAATAGGAGAGACATGATAGCAATATTCCAGTATTTGAGGAGCTGCCACCAAGAAGAGGGGGTCACGTTATTCACCAAAGCACCAGAGGGAAGAACAAGAAACAATGGTTGGAAACTGATCAAAGAGAGAAGCAACCTGGAATTAAGGAGAAACTTCCTGACAGTGAGGACAATTAACCAGTGGAACAGCTTGCCTCCAGAAATCGTGGGTGTTCCCTCACTGGAGATTTTTAAGAAGAGGCTAGGCAATCACCTGTCTGAGATAGTAAAGGTTCTCCTGCTTGAGCACAGGGCTGGACTAGAAGATCTCCAAGGTCCCTTTCAGCTCTGTTTTGTTCTGTTCTGTTTTATTCATAGTAAGTAATATTTAGGTCTGAATTTAAGACTAGGAATTTTCTTTGCTTCTCATTCACTACTCTTCACTCTACCACAGAGATGGGGAACGATGGCCTCTTTATGACTTGTGGACTTCAACTGGCTCAGGAATTCTGGGAGTTAAAGTCCACAAGTCATAAAAGAGCCATCATTCCCCATCCCTGTTCTACAGTTGAATCTGTATGGAACTGAATTTAAATTATTTTCCTAGAGTTTAAATGGACCTATATACATTTGCAATTGCAGATTTGGTAGTAGCAGGTATGCCCTCAGTCCCCTCCTCAGCTGTTCACACTAAAACAATTGTTATTACTTCTTAGATAAAAACATCTTTGTGATATAACACTCACACTTTAGCAGATGAAGCAAGAGAAGAAATAGCCTGCTTTCAGAATGCTGAGAGTGATTTTTTCCCCCCTCAAAAACATTGTGCCTGCTGCTTAGAGGATAAATGGCGATTTTAAGATCTATAGGTCAGCTAGACAACAGAACAGTTTCAGTTTCTCATGGGAATGCAAAAGTAATGACACTTTTGAAGAGGGCATTGCTTTGGATAAAAGATGGTTTGAGTGAGTAATAAACATAAGGTTATTACTTTCCAAACCCATATATAATTCCCCTCAGTACTGGCCCCTTTAAGGTCAGACTGCTTCAACAGACACATTAATCTTATGGTACAGTTTACTAATTATTAACCAACTCTATGTATTGGACCAAATTCTTAATTTTCATGGTTCATGTCAAATCCAAAGCTTGTTGCTAGGAGTCACGTTTCCCTTTTGCCATAATTTTGATTATGTTATGCCACATCCCTGTATTAAATTTCAAACTTTTCAACAGCCAGCAGAAACCTAATGAATTTATGTTTTATAAATGAATGACTAGAAATGTAAGGGTGTAAAGAATAGAAGAAACATACAGATTCAGGAATCAAGACAAAATCCAATTTTTACTAGACCCGTTTTCTTTTGCTGCTTTGTATGAAATGGATTAACTCACATATTACATACATTTGTAATTATATCAAATGGATTCTTAGGGCCCTAGGAATTTTTTAGCATTACATTTTGTTTATGAAAATGTTTATTATAATTAAGTCCCAATTATTCATGATCTTGTAATATCAAATTGAAAATATACAGTATCTGAGAAATATAATAGAATTTAATAGACTTCATTCTATGATTTCCCTAGTAGTTTTTTTTAAAAGTAACAATTTTACCTTACTTAATTTATTTCAACTTCGTCCTGCTATATAGTCCAATCTGGGAATTGGCCAAGGCTGGCTGGGTTGCAAAGGAGAAATGCATGACTTTAAATCGTGAACAAAATTAAAGGTCCCAGGATTCTTTCCTTGTTTGATTAATACTAGGTGTCATAACATTTGAAATGATTCACACTTGAACTGAATGCTCTCTTTGCTGCACTGAAATGAACTGAAAACATTTTTAATAAGATGGAGCAGCGCTCTCCCACAACACAGTCCCAAAAGGCCAACTTCTGCTTCATGCAAAGTGTTAGACGAAGAATAATTTAAGGATATCTTGTGAAGTCTCAGAATTTCTACCATTTATCAGTTTGTCTGTATTCAAGGAGGAATGCCGTTTATCTTTTTCTACTGGTCTTCTAGTGTCATGACTTTTCTGGTTATTTAATTAAAAAGTTATGATTCTTATTAGGTATCAGGAGCAGCTCAACAAATGCAAGTCACACAGAGCCTACAACCACCACAGCCCTCTGGCGGTCGTCGAAGACGAGTGGTGGATGAAGATCCAGATGAAAGACGGAGGAAATTTCTGGAACGAAATCGAGCAGCTGCCACACGGTGCAGACAGAAGAGGAAAGTTTGGGTGATGTCACTGGAAAAGAAAGCAGAAGAACTCACCCAGACAAATATGCAACTTCAGGTACAGGTTACCATAAAGACACTGAGGATATAGTCATTTTCTTGCCAGCAAAACCTTAAAAAAGAAAACTTACACTGAGTTGCATTACATTATACTTCTAGTGGAAAAACAATGAATCTGATCAAATGTAATGTTTAGTTTGCAAAAAAAATTATCCAAGGATTTTAAAATCCAAAAATTACCTGAAAGTGTTTTTATTTTATTTTTATTTTATACAAGTACAAAGACTTACAGTCAACAGCATGAAGCAATCTCTTCATTAGGACTGAAATAGTTATTTAAAAATAGTAAGAGATAAAATCTTTTCTCCATTAGCCCTGAAGCATATTTCAGGAAGTCTTTGACTCATGAACACAATTGAACCCAAAATTTATGATGCTAAATGAAACAGCTGTTAAATGAGTATTGTCCTATTTTATGACCCTTGTTGCCACAGTTGTTAAGTGAATCACTACAATTATTAAGTTAATATTATGGTTGTTAAGTGAATCTGGCTTCCCCATTGATTTTGCTTGTCAGAAAGGTGATCCCATGACCCTGGGACACTGCCACCGTCATAAACATGAGTCAGTTGCCAAGTACATGATCACATGATCATGGGCATGCTGCAACTGTCATAAGTATGAAAAATGGTCATAGGTCACTTTTTTCAGTGCCATTGTAACTTGAAATAACAATAAATGAATTGTTGGAAGTCAAGGACCACTTGTATTTGAATCACTAGCTGCTAAAAGATACTTTATGGTCCTTGTCCCTTCAAACATGGCCTAAATTGTTTAATTCGTTGAAATTTAGGTCTCATTGGAGACACATACTGTATATATGGTATCTAGTATAAACCTCTGTAAGTACAGTTGATGGCATTTGGGGAGCAGGATTATGGGTAAAGAGCGTACCATCTTCATCCTCTGCCCATGAATTTCTGGAGATAAAAATAAGCTGTATCAAAAGCCTGGTCTTGAAACATCTTGTCACTTCCATTTGGATTAATGTAAATAATTAGAGTTATTGCTGTTGACCTTTTAACATAAGAGTAAGACCATGTATATAGACTTACCTTGATTATACGTTTTCTTAACTTCCTGGTAAATTGAAGTTCCTGCATAACTGGACATAATAAATGTATTTATATTTTTTTATATGTAAAAAAATGGTTGTCAAATCATTGGCCTCAAGAACGGCTAAACATAATAATGGCAGCTTAACAGGAAATCTAAATTAGGATGCTCTGAATATTTGGAGCGTGTAAAGGCATATCTATATCTATATACTGTTGTTCAATGCATTTTTTTTCTTCAAAAGTACTTTATACAGTATGACATCACTGATGAGTAAATTAAGCTTTGGCAATTTGTGTGTGTGTATGTGTGTGTGTGTGTGTGTGTGTTTAATACTGTATTATGCAAATGCAGCCAAAAGACCAGGAAATCTGATTCCTAATAGTCTTTTCTGAATGAGTGGATGGATATAAGCTTCAACAAAGGTAAACTGGCTTATGAATTTTTAGGGATATTATTACTCAAGACAGGAATATCTATCAGCCATCTTTATTTCCATCTCTAATTAATTCTGTCTGACTTTCCTGAGTTGTACTTTACAGATAAATATATTTTGGGGCCATTCAACTTGTTTTTTGTAGCTCCTTCTTTAAAGCAATTAAAACATGTTTTGACTCTTCATTTTTATGCTTTGTGAACAGCATATGTGGGGTGGGGGGGTGAACTTTCTTGGGTCTGATCCCCAAAGGTTTCCAAAAGCTAGTATGCCATTGTAACAGGAGAACAATATTATTCAGTGCAGGGGCGGATCTTTAAATGTAACCCCAAAAAAAATTCATTTAAGCCTACCCATTTGACAAAGTGCAGCCTCTGGAACACCACCCAAAAAGTAATCTGAACAGGAATCCATAACTTTAAAGTTTTAAACAGCCACTTTCATGTATTGAATTTGACCTTAAGGACAAAGCAGGATGGTTGTGATTAAAGAAAATTTATTTCTTTGCTGTGCCATTTCAATAGTACAATTTAGTATGTCTGCAGGAGTATCTGTCAAAGTTTGCAAGTTGATGGACATGCATCACATTCAAAGCTGTACCCACTTGTACATACATGTATGCTACATGTATACAAAATGATGGGTCTTCAATCACAGTGTTGTGTCCATCATCTTGTAAATTGTTGTTTTCCTGCAGATACTCCTATATCTGAAGAGTCCAAGCTCTGTGCTGTTACTGAGCAACAGAGCAAATGATTAGGCTGTTAAAATCAGATTACCAAGAAAGCTAACAATTGCTATCAGTTCTTCTTCCATTCTGACAATTAAAATTGTCCTAAAAATGAGAGTCAGCTCCAAAGCTTTCAAACTAGGCTGTAAAAGCATATCCCAGAATACAGATTTCCTCCTGCATTTTTCCTAGGACAAAAAGGATCGTATGAAAAATCAGGTCCCAAGAAATGCTTCTCAGCTCCTTGTCCTCCTACTTACTAAAATAAAATTATCTTTTTTCTTTTCTAGAATGAGGTTTCCATGTTGAAAAATGAGGTAGCACAGCTGAAACAGTTGCTGTTAACTCATAAAGACTGTCCCATAACAGCTATGCAGAAAGAATCACAAGGATACCTAAGTAAGTGTTATCTGATAGTATATACTAATAGTAGATTTCCTTTTTTCAGCTCACCTTGATACCTGAACAAGTATTTAATACATCATGGCTATCAAGTAAAAGACACATAATTAGAAAAAGAATTTATTGGAGGCATCTCAAAAACTTTGACATCTCTAAAAGTATCTTAAAGGATTTTGGAAGCCACTGCCAAAGTTGATTAGTTATTTATTTAACCATTACTAAATATATCATAGAAGCAATATTTTTTTTAAAAAAGAACAAATATAGTTTCTAAAACATTAACAGCACAGAGGCCATAAAAATGAGAAATATAATAAGTATTATGTTTAATAATTATTATTGGCATAATAAAATATAACATATTTTTAACTAATGCTTAGAAAACATAAAATAAATTCCAAATTTCAGAATGGCTATTGACAGTTTTCTCTAAAACAGCATTAATGTGAGATGTTGCGTCTGTTCAAAATTTTTCTGTAGTTATTTGTCTGTATTTCTACTGCATAACTCTGCATAGGACTGTACAGGTAGTCCTCGACTTACGACCACAATTGAGCCCAAAATTTATGTTGCTAAGTGAAAAATTTGTTAAATGAATTTTGCCCCATTTTACGACTTTTCTTGCCACATTTGTTAAGTGAACCACTGCAGCTGTTAAATTAATAACACAGTTCTTAAGTGAATCTGGCTTCGCCATTGACTTTGCTTGTTAGAAGGTCGCACAAGGTAATCACATGACCCTGGGACATTGCAACCGTCATAAATGTGAGTCAATGTCAAACATCCGGATTTTGATCATGTGGCCATTTGAATGCTGCACTGGTCATAAGTGTGAAAAACAATCACTAAATTAACTGTTGTAAGTCGAGGAGTACTTGTATTGAGAACTTTTATTGTGCAGTATGTGTGTTTTTGCACACACATACTGTATACATACACACATGTATGCACACACAATATGCAGATGCACACATGCATGCACATATACATAAACAAAACATACACATTTATAAGGTTTCCCTAGTGTTAAGGCACCAGGCTAGAAACCAGGAGATTAAAAGTTTCATTAAGAACTCTTCATGACTAGGTGATTTTGGGCCAAACAGTCTTCTTCAGCCCAAAATGTCAAACTCAGATAACAAGCCAGTCAGTCAATTCCTGTCACAACCAATTAATCAAAACTTGGTTGATCCAATAATAATAATAATCAGGCACTGCACTTGCAGGAAAAATATAAGAAAGCATACCATGCTATAACTGAGGGATAAAACATTGAAATATTAAATATTAGATAAACCAAAATTAAGTAAGCTTCCAATCAAAATATTATGGGGTGAAGGTTGCATTTTCTTCCTAGTCCACTAACCACCTCCAACATGGAAAATCCCATTCGGGGTCCCAAGCCAGTTGTCAGAGCCAGGTTTTGGGGCTCTTCCAGAAGGACAAGAAGGTGAGGGCGTATCTTACCTCAAGGGATGCAATATTCAAGAGGGCAGGAGCCATACCTTGCTTTCAATAGGATGAAAGAGCTTTTAAACATTAGAGTCTGCATTTGAATTCTGAACTGCTACAGTCGATATGCATATTTGTACTATCCACAAAAACCAAGCCACAAGTTCAGTCGCACACCTAAAATGCAAAAAATGAAAGTTATATAATATAACTGTTAGTGTATATATTGTCACTGTCATGAGACAAGGCTATGGAACTAGTTGAGAGAGTAATTGGAGGCAGACCTGGTTTTGCTGCTTTATTAAGAGTGACCTGCCCCTCAGCTGAAATTCAAAATAAAATAGTTCTGGGGAAAAAAAAAAACTTGCTGCTGCTCCATCTTCTCTGCATCTGCAGAGTGACAACCTCTTCTACTTCCAGAGACTGCTCTTCTCATGGCGGAGCCCAACTGGGTTTCCTAGGGATGGTGCAGCAACTCCAGTAAAGCCAGTTACTTCCAGATTTCCATCAACCATTTGGTGTAGGGGGGATCCGGAATTAGCACTCCCTTCCTTTCCCTGCTTGGCATCATTCAGAGTCCTATCAAAAGGCTTGAAAAGGAGACACAACAGCATGGACAGAAGAGGCAAAGTACTCAGTATTTCGCTGGAGCAGCCTTGACTACATGACTCATATTTCCAAAGGAGATGATACTTCGGTTAATGCAAGTAGCATTCTGCTGACTTACTACTTACACTGAGGTATCTTTCCATTATTTAAAAGTGCTATATGCAGACATAGCTTAAAGTAGAAATGTAGTATCCATAATATGGAGACAACTCTACAGATTCCTTTATTTATGTTATTCCTTAGTTTTAGAAGTTGCTCTAATTTTAACAACAGGTTTTTTGCAGCTAAACATTTTATATTGCAGTCTGCTTCCTCAATTATTTGCTCTGCTAAAAAAAAATATTATTTCTTTCTACCAGGAATGAATCTTTTTTTTCTCCTCTGTGCAGGTCCTGAAAATAGTCCTCCTTCTAGTCCACGTCCAACCTGCTCACAAAAACAAGTCATTCAGCAGAATACCATTACTACTTCCTCTGCCGTCGGTGATGTTGGAGGCTCCACTCTCAGTCAACTTGCAAGCCATCAAAAAGACATGAACCCAGTCCTTTAAAATTGAGTGATCAAGCAACTGTGATGATAAATATGATGACCTATCAGGTTTCTTTTCTGTTAAAGGCATTGCCTTCTCAAGATTATTTCTAATCTGAAGGACTCTTCAGCCCCAAAAGACTTATGAGCTTGATTTTTTTAGTTATTAAATAATTGTTTATGCTTAGTAATAATAAAGGGATTTATGCAATGATTATGCTATCAGCTTGGGAGATGCTTGGTGCTTTCTCTAATTTTCTGGTACCAGTTTCTTCTTCATTTGTTTGTAGCCAAACTGCTTCTGTACATAGCCATGGTCCTTCTCATCATTGCTGGTTGGCACCATCGAAGCATCTTATAACAGTATCATTAGCCAAAAACTGAAGCCTAAAAAATATGAAACAGCCATACACTTGTTGACAGTGCAATAAGTACATGGTTTTTCAGCTCCATTAAACTCTCAATCATACTTGTAGCTTTGCAAATCATTATTCTGCTTTGAAAATGTTTCTATATCTGTTGGAGTTACAGCCTAGGGGGTTCTGCGGTCAGTTTATGTTCTCTTTTTCTGACCTATTGAAACTGATTTCAAAACAGTTTAAAAGTATTCAATATTTTAAGTTTTCTTAAAGGAGGAAGTGAACCCAATTTTTCTCAGCCTAACTGTTTTTAGAAAAAGGGTTTAAATGCGGACAGAAAGGACGTGCATGTCTGGAGATTGTTTTTCAATATCATAAGCCTTTTGCTTACCAAATAGTTATGGTTTTTTGCCTACTACCAGGATATTCGTGTAAAAATGAAACATTCATGCAAAACATGAAACCCATACTTAAATTGAATATGGGTTTTGAGCTTCTGTGGAGTTTTATGTTTTTTTCCTTTTTGTGATTTTCCTCTGCACTTTTCTATTTCCCCTTATAAATCATGTAGTTGTAGGTCTTCTTTTACAAAGTCTTTATGGTATTTCATACTAAAATTCTTGCTTTTTGCTGCTTGCACAGTTTCTATTTAACATTGAAAATGCATTGACATTGATGAAAAGCCCTGCAGATTCACCAGCTATTTTCTCAGAAGTATTTACTAGTTCACACTTCTAGCAGTCTCTTCTCCACAGCTGTGTGAGATTTTTATTTTCTCTGAAACACTTTTTATAATCCTAATAGGGTCTTTTAATAAACAGCAAAGGTTGAAAGCAGTTTTACCTCAGGTAAAACTACTGATGGTATCACAGTGCTGGAAGCCTTATAAAATTGTTGCTGTAAGAATCCATAGCACTGAAAATAATAAACATCACTCTATAGTACTATGCTCTTTGTTAACAAGAAAAATGGCCATCAGTGCAGGAATTGTAGATTGTAAGATTGTCACCAAATTGAGTTCACTCGATACCTTAAGTCAATATGGTTGGTTGGTTGATTTTGGGTTAACATTTTCTGTAAACCCAGCCATTAAGTCTTGTAAGGAATAATTTAGCACAAAATATTGTGTGAACCCAGTTGGTTTGGTTCATTGAATAAACTATGATCTTGCAAATAAGTATTTGAAAGTAACAAAGGAAACCACAGAGAACAATCTGCTTGCACTTAAGTAACTTTGGGTAAATAAATTGTGCAGGTCAGTGACATAATGCCCTGTTATCACATGCGTAACTAAGAGTGGGTAATAGCACGGGAAAAGCAGAGGAAGTGGACCCTTATTCTCATACCCTACCTCTAATTAGCTTGGGAAAGAGGGTGCTTTAAAATCAATAATTGGGAAAAGGCATTTCTTATGAGATCCTAATTAGATCTTCTTTATGGTATAAGATTCAAAGTTTTCACATTTAATCTTTCCAAATAAAACCATTCAAAAAATTGTTATACCAACTCAGAATTGAGAATTGAATAATTTCCTAAAATTAAAGATTGTCCAAAACAAAACTTGAGCTATCCTAAAGAATCACTGGTAATCAATCTAGATAACCTATTTTAAACAATGGGCTGACTTATATAAGGAAGTTTTCAGTGATATTAAGAGGACGCAGTTCCAAATAAATTTTCTCCAAAAGATATTTAAAAACCATCCAGCTGAACTTCAAGTCATGAAATTGATCATTTTGAAAAGTGAAATAAGATGCTCTTATTATCGTCCTTGATAATAATACCAAGACTGTATTATACTTGACCTCAGGTTGAGAATTACACTTTGACCAGGATTAAATACCAGATTAACTGGTTATTTGCATATATTTTTAAAATATTATGATATTTTTTAAAAAAATGCATTTTAGGAAAAAATGCATTTTTGCTAAAACTAAGCAATATTGTAGCAGCTAGGACCAACTCAAATAACACTGGCATTTTTAATCTATCTTTCCCTTTTATAAGAGTTTGCCAATTAAAACATTACAGTATAATATTAATAAGATGTTAGTATTTTGTGTATGCTAACAGATACAACTGATACAAACGGATTTTACAGCAAAAGGAAGGTACTGGAAAATACAAGGAAATTAATTTTCAGTAGAAACTAAATAGATTTGAAAATTACTGTGATTTTTTGGGGGTTAAAATTAAGAAGATATAAATAAACATATAACTTGGATCGCCCATTGTAGATTCCAATTCTTCTAAAATTAGCTGTAACAAAGTTGCATGAAATCAGTGGAATCATGTTTGTTATAGCTCTATACTCTGACTCCTTTCACAGGAATATGCAGCCTAAATCCCTTGTGAATTTCAGTTCTGCAGTGAACAATGGGCTCTTTCCCCAAATAAATGTGTCTACAACTGTGAACTAAAATTGCAGATCTGTAAGCTTTATAGGTTTGGATAAGGCTTAAGACCCATCTGCAAGCAGAGTTCTCTAAAGGAGCTAAAGAAACTTCCACAAATATTCAACTGCCAGATCTGGGCTACAAAAAGCCAGATGAGCTACCCCTCCCCCCCCCCAAAAAAAAGAATTATAAAAAAAACCCACTAGAAGTCAGCAAAAAGATAAAGAAAAGAAATTCACTTTTTTGCAATGTGGTAGTAGCGTGATCTTCTATTTACAGGGTTTCGTCTAGTCACTGATGCCAAAATGAAATGTTTTAAACATAGAGTTGAACAGGCTGAGTTCAGAATTTTTTATGCCTTCAAAAATCAAACTTCACTAATATGCCAACCTGTAATCTGGCACAGCTATTGCTAAAAAATAAAAACCCTTGAACTTATTCCCACATAACACTTCTCATCCCCTTTTTAATTTAGGATTGTCCTTAGAGAAGTTAACAATTTACTGGTTTACTGGGACTAAAATGCCAAGACTTAAGGCAGCTTTGCGGGGTTTTTTTGTCTTTTACAAACTAGTAAACTACAAATAGTTATAAATTATACCTTTTTTAATAAGAGGCAATATAAATACTGAAAAGTTTAGGGTTCTTTTTTAAAGAAGAACAACGATAGAAATATCAAAAACATAAGCCTTTTATTATATTGCATTGTTTAATGCTAATGATCCAATACCTGTAAAATATCAATGGCTGTGAAGAAATTCTGTTGAAATATAGGACTTTGAAAACATAGTCACCATATTGATTGATTCTTTGCATTGCTATAAATGCAAAAGAGTTCTGTACATAAACAATTTTGCTGTTTAACTTAATGGAGTGAGCACTACAGCACAATCTTTAAGGGAATCTGTAGGTAGCACTACCCCTTCTATTGAAATGAATGGTGCAGCGCAATGGGCAGCCACTGCATGTGAAAAAATACTTGCACGTGGGTGTTTGAATTGGGAAAAACTTTCTTGAAACATCTGTATGTGTCATTATATTATTCCCACAGATTGTAACATACAGAGTTGACAATGCAAAAAGTCAAAAATATTTTTGCCCTCAAGCCAGTGATTCAGTGATGCTTACTTCCTACTGAAGTGCACGTATAAAATGCATGGGCTCAACACTTAGGCCGCTGTTCATCTTAAAATGAATGTTTGCCTTCTTCCCTCATCAGACTACTTCTTAAATATTAAAGAAAAGTGAAACAAAAGAAGTAAGTTCTGTATGTATGCCCAGTAACTCAACTGAAGTTACTAAAGAGCTCAACAGTGCTTGAAACATTAAATGATTCTGTGCAACAGATTTCATAAGCTCAAATGTTCTTCATTATGTTTGTCCACTTCTCCCACTCCTGGGCAGAGTTAATTTCTGCCAAGCTGAAATTTTTCACGTCCTTATTTCAAAGAAGGTACAAGGCACAGCTACCTTGGACTATTGCACATAATATTTCTTAGATCAAAAATAGAACATAATGCCATGTATTTCCCAGGCTAAACATCAAATCACTGCTGTACATATAAATACTGTTACCTCCAGTATGTAATACCTGTAAATTAATACAGAACATCCCTCCTTTACACTATATTCATCCTTACTTTATTATAAATGTCACTAAACTGTGTGGCAAAGTTACTTACTCTTGGAATCTAGACTTCAAGTACTTCTGAATTTTCTCACTTAGGAGAATTCTGTCTCATCTCCAGACATCTGCCTGACAATCATATAAAGGCAGAAAGAAAAAGAAAGAAAGAAAGAAAGAAAGAAAGAAAGAAAGAAAGAAAGAAAGAAAGAAAGAAAGGGTGTTAATTTGCATATTTCCAGTGATAAAACTAATTAACTTACTCACCATTTCAGTTCCCTGCCAGCTTTGTATCTAAATTAAAATAAACTCACCCTTTTCCCAAACATATAGATTTGAGTTCAAAACAGCTGAATAATATTAGATGCCATCAAAGATTTACATTTTTGGGTGTTTCTTTGTTACCATGTTGAAGTTGCTCAAAGTTCTGTGGCTCAGATCTGGCAGCCTTGCCCATTTTACTGAGCAGAGAATGAGGTCCAATTACACAAAAACTGAAACTGGATCTTGCTGTCTGTCCAAAAACTCAATTAAATGTAAAGTACAATGAGAGGAGGAAAAACCTCCAAACACTGCAAATTGCAATATTTATCAAAAAGGGCTGGATTGCAATACAAAATATCTATGCTACATAAGCTTTTCTGCAAGCCATATTTCTATATTGTAATCTAAATGACATTTACTTTAGAGTATTTATTATGATAATGGTGAGCTTTTATTGCATGATTCTGCATTTTTTGTAAAAGTGTGCAAGCCATTAAAAAAAATAGGAATTGAATGGCAAATAATCAAAAGCAAACATTTCAACATAACCGCTCTTCTCTTTACTAACAAGCTAGCTATAGCTGTAGGGTGAAATCTATATTTCTAAAATAACAATATTTACTATATGGTGAGTATATATCTGTATTTGTGTTTTTATAAAAAGTCTTTTAATTATCTTCTGCATTTTAGCCAACATTTTTCATATAAAACAAAAGAAAAAGAAAAAAGTATACCTTGGATTTATGCAAACTAATGAGGACCAAAGTGAAATTAAAATAACAGCAAAAATACCCAAACCAGGAATCTATTAAATGTTGTATTCAC